TTTCTATATTAAGAACAAGCATGTTTTTAAATATTTTCTTGTCACACATTTTTAAACGAAAATAGCCATTATGATCAGTTCAATTCCCTCATAAGTTTTTATGCAGAATAATGTTATATTCTAATCTTAACATTTGCATCTCCTGACAAAATTTCCAGTGCTAGAGAATAACTATTAATGTTCTTGAATCTTCTTCACTAGTTGTTTCTTTGGGGAATCACTGAAACTGATGTTCCTTTTTTGGGCATGTGAAGATGTAGAGTGTGCCCATTTCCACACTGCAATTTGAGCTGTATACAAAGGAACAATAGTATGTTTTACAAGAAAAAATGTAGCAGAAGACAGGCTGGAGCGCCTAAAGGCCATATACTTCCCTCAATCCATCAACACTCATTAACATCAATGGGAGTCTGATCAAAAACAGCATATATATGTCCTTTCATATTTAACACATAGATTCTCTGCTATCTTCAAGATATCTTACATGACTAAGAGCATTCAAATCCTGCCAATAGATTTTATTGGCACTGATTTCTGAAATTATCCTTCCAGCTTTGTCTATGACATAAAGCATTCTAACTATGCAACCCAAAAATTGCTATATTTCCTTTTCAAATGCAAGAGTCATGGCAAAAGTTGCTTGTGTCAGTCAGGATGCATAATGCACTAGTACACATCTCTTCAACATTATACTGTACTCTTTATTTTTTTTTTAAATAAAGATATTCATGTTATAGTAGATTGAACTAGAAATCAATAGATTATGCCATCTACATAAAGTAATACTCTGTATTTTTAGCCATTTGTAATTTACCAGACACAAGAATTAGGTTATAACTGAAATGGAACATAAGCAATGTGATAATAAGAATAACTTGGTTTTAAAGTCTGATATTTTGTTCTTCAGACTTATCAACAAATTTGTAGTACATATTTGTCCATTTACAAAAGATCCTGACCAAAAACTCCTCTCTAGTCACACCCTACATATTATTGGATTAATCTTTGTGCAAAATAGACCTTGTAAGATAAAATATAAAAACTATCAAATACTGTGACCTATGTACAACATGCATATCATGAGCTGAGAACATAACTGAAATTATGATTACAGAGTGTATACCAGACAAATCTGGGGAGCTGGTAAAGGTTCCATGTCTCTGTTCTCACTGCTGGAATGAACTTTATCTAGGGGTAACCTTCAGGAAAGCATATTTCAAAGGGTGAATGGACTAGAAAAGCGAGGGGCAAAAATACCTCCAAACTATCTCTCTTTTACCTGAGATGACAAAGGAACCAGCTCCTTGACTTAGGGAGGGAAATCCTGACTTGAGAATGTGGTCAGGCCTATTGCTGAGAACACGTGGTAAGGATTTTACTTTAAACTAAGTCTAGCCTTCACTTTCACTACTAAAAAGCATTTTTTTTGTTTCTCTTGTAACCATTTCTGACTAACAGATTATACTTGTACTCACTTAAAATCAACTTCTTACTATATATTTTAGAAATGAGCATCTCTGTCTGAGAGCCCATTTGTTCAAGAACTCCTCCTAAATGGTAAGAGATAGGGCCACCAAATTTGGTACTCAGCTTCCTCTTCTCCTAACTTACCACAAGGTTGTACCAGGACAATGGGGTGAGCATGGAATTCAATTGTTTCTCATAAAATGGAAAGGGAGGGGTCTGGTAGAAGGGAGTTATACTGCAGAGTTATACCACAGGGAGAGCAAGGGGCCAGAGATGGGGACTGGAAAAACTATAACTCTATTGGGCCAACAGGGGGCAAGCGACAGAGAAAAGGACAGCTATCTACTATATATTTGAGAGAGAGAGAGAGCGAGCGCACACGCGTGCGTGTGTCCATCTGTCCATCTACCCCCAGCAAGGGAACATGCACCTCTCCCTCGGCTGTGCCTGTTGCAGCTACAGTGGCCATGGACAGGAGCTTCTCACTTGGCCCCAAGCTGCTGTGATGAGAAAGGGCTGGGTTGTTCTATCTCCCCAGAGCAGCCTGCACACTGAACCCCACATCACCTGGCCCACCCCAGAGCAATGATTTAAATGAAGAAAAATAAGTTATTTGAATTAAAGACCCAAGCAATGCCAAGTCAATTTTCTAGTAGGTAAATAAACTTGTTTCATTTTTACCTAAACGAATACAGTGTTGTGTTTAAAACAAATTGGTAACTCCAGTTAATATAGCAAACTATTGGAAATTGATCCTTTACAGGAGCAATTGACTTTTGATAGCTGAACTATCTAGAAGAGAATTGGAGAGCACAGAACACATATATGGGAATTGTTGGGACTGTGAGCACATCAAGGTCACTCTGCAAATAGTAACAGAGGCCGGAGAAAACCAGAGTGTGATTGGAATGTTGTTCACAGGCCATGCTTCTGTCTTTCACTTGGAAGCCTGCTGACAAATGCTGTCCCATGAAACCCAACCGCAGCATGAGGCTTCATCTCGGACATGCCAGGATAGCCAAATGGAGTCCAACTGGCCTGCTGGTCTTACTTAAGTCACCAACAGGAACCTGTCCAAACTGGAATTCACCTTGCTCTGGACTGTGTACTTGTGCCTTCTGCTCACCTGGCTTTGACTTCTCAGTGCCTTGACCTGGCTTGGCTTATGGCATTTGACTTGTGGTTCTGACCTCCAGCTTGTCTTCTGCCTCTGATCTCCCAATATCTCAACCCAGCTGACCCTTGGCTCTTGATTGCAAGCCTCTGCTCTGACCACAAGGTCTAGCTGCCCAAGACCCAGCCCTGACAAACATCCATCAGTCTCCTCTGGCAAGTGTTACTCAAATGACTACTGCTGGAGAGAGTAACACGTGCTGAACAGGACCCTTCTTTAGAATGTCTTCAAACACACATTCTCCATTACAAAAACTGATGCTTACTGTATGGCCTGTGTCTCTGTGGGGGCGACAGCCAACCAATCGACATTCATTCCTGGTAGCGCATTTTTTGGTGACTGAGGTACTCCTTCCACGGCTTTTGAAATGATGAACTGTCAAACAGTACTTTGTATCTAAGAAATAAATCAAAATCAACATTTATTTTCATGCAATGAAAATTCTATCATATGGTTTGAAAGGTTTTACTAAATGACAAGTTATAATAGAGCAATAGCACTAAGAAAAGTTAGGGATTATGTGAGGTTTAAAGGATTATGACTGCATTATATTCCAAAATTATAGTACTTGTGTGTCAGCTAGATCTTAAATTAAATAGGCTATTTGGCTCCTATGCCGCAAAGAGATTTAAAAAGCCATTGAGATTTGACTTCTCTAGCACTTCATCTCTAGCTGTCTAACTAGTTTTAGCAATTCCTATCTTGGCTCTTCTTTTCCATCCTGCACTCCTTCTCATTCTCTTCCATCCTCCCTTCATACTGGTTTCCTTTTTTCATTTCACTCTTCCACCTCCATCCCTCCCCTAGCCAATGACTTTACTTCTTCCACTATTTTTCCTTTTCCCCCTCACTTTAGAGTATGTTCCCGTATCCAAATTTCAGGGACCCCACTATTCTCTCTTCCAAGTGTGATCTTCAGGCCTTACTGCCAAATGTTTCTGCATTACCAAGAGATGTACTAACATGACACTTGCCATTTTGAGAAGTCTCAGAGGGGTAGCTGTGTTGGTCTGTATCTGCAAAAACAATGAGGAGGTCTGTGGCACCTTAGAGACAGATTTATTAGGGCATAAGCTTCTGTGGGTAAAACCCACTTTATCAGATGAATTGGAGTGGAGTTTACAGTCCTATATATGCACCCATGATACAGCACCAGATACTTCCGAGGAAATGAACAGAACCAGGCAATTATTGAGTGAGCTATCCCATTGCCAATGGCAGCTTCTGGCACTCAGATATTTAGGGACACCCAGAGCATGTGGTTACATCCCTGATCCTCACTAATAACATAGATAGATCTAGGCTCCACAAACTCACCTAACCTTATTTTGAATATAGTTACACATTTGCCCTTCATAACATCCCATGGCAATGAATTCCATAGGTTGGCTATGGCTTGTATGAAGAAGTACTTCCTCGTGTTGGCATTAAACCTGCTGCCTGTTAATTTAGTTGGGTGACACTTGGTTCCTTATGTTAAGTGAAGGGTAGATAACATATCCCTATTTACTTTCTCTGCACCATTTATGATTTTATAAACATCTCTCATATCCCGTTAGTCATTTCTTTTCCAAGCTGAGCAGATCCTATCTTTTAAATCTCTCAGGTTATGTCTACACTGGCATGAATTTCCGGAACTGCTTAAAACGGAATACTATTCCGTTTTCAGTTTTTCCGGAAAAGGAGTGTCTACATTGGCAGGCTGCTTTTCCGGAAAAGCCCTTTTTCCAGAAAAGCGTCTGTGGCCAATGTAGACGCGCTTTTCCGGAAAAGAGCCCCGATCGCTATTTTCACGATCGGGGCTTTTTTCTGGAAAAGACTACTGGGCTGTCTACACTGCCCCTTTTCCGGAACAGTGTTCCAGAATAAGGATTTATGCCTGAGCAGGAGCAGAATAGTTTTTCCTTGCTTTTCCGGAAATTCAAGGGCCAGTGTAGACAGCTCACAGCTTATTCCAGAAAAGCGGCTGATTTTCCGGAATAAGTGGCCCAGTGTAGACACAGCCTCATTGTATGGAAGCTGTTACATATGCCAAATCATTTATGTTGGTCTTCTTTGAACTTTTTCCAACTTTAATACATTTTTTTTTGAGATATGACGACCAGAAGCACGTGCAATATTCAAGGTGTGGGCATAACATAGATTCATATAGTGACATGTTATTTTCTGTCTTTGTATCTCTCCCTTTCCAGACAATTCCTAACATTCTGTTTTGGCTGCTGCAGCACATTGAGGCTACGTTTAGACAGCGGCGCTATTTTGGGATACTCGGAGCATCCCAAAATAGCTATTCCGAGTCTTTAAATGTGCCTGTTTTTTCAAAACAGATTTCAAAATAATGGGTGCACTATTCTGACATCCCTGAAACCCTCATTCCATGAGGGTTAAAGGATGTTTTGGAATAGTACCTTATTTCAAAATTTGTAAACAGTGCCAAATTTCAAAAATTTCAAAATTAGATCGAAATAAGATATGCAATTTGTGCACTCAAATGTGTATCTATTTCAAATTGTGTAGTGTAGATGCACCCTGAGTGAATATTTTCAGAGAAGTATGCATGTTGACTCCAAGACCTTTTTCTTGGTGACAGCTAATTTAGACCCCACTACTGCGTGTGTACAGTTGCAGAGATGCTGAACAATTCATATAGTGGGTGGTGTTGAGAGCCATTGAACTAAACTATAAATCCTATATAAGGAAAACCACTTCAAGCCAGGGCATGTGGCAGAACCCGGAGTTCCAGCACCTGTGCATAATTGGGGTTACTTTTTCCTGTCTGTATTGTTTTGAACTTATTAACATTGAAATTCATCTGCCACTGTGTTCTCGCTAAACTGGGTAAGTGGGTACTTATTAACATTGAAATTCATCTGCCACTGTGTTACCCACTTACCCAGTTTAGCGAGATCTGTTTGTAACTTTGCACTTAGCTTTGGACTTCCTATCTCAAGTAATTAAATGAACATCTAAGATAGGTCTCTAATCTTTGAATCTAGAATGTGCACAGGGCTGAATTAATCTATATATTTAATCTCAAATCCTATATTCTCCACTCAGTGCACACACTTTACTATAAGGCCTCCATCCATCCAGAAACGTAACTACGCTTTAAGATAACAGTGCTGAAAAATTCCTCTAAAATCCTTAGTACAAAACAGCTATCTACCAAAATGGTTAAGTTACATTAGTGAATTTCTAGTCAGACACTCTAGTGAGCAACTTCTTTATTCTATAAAAAAAGAACACAGGACTCATTCAAATACATATTACAGTAGAACCCACAGTTGCGAACAACAAAGTTGCCAACTGATTGTTCAACCATACACAGCAGGAGAGAGGAAAAAACAAAGCAAAGCAAATAAATACAGTAATGTGCTAAACATACACTATGAAAAAAAGTGGAAAACAGCATTTTTCTTCATCATAGTGACATTTCAAAACTATCATATGCCAATGTTCAATTGTAAGACTTTTGAAAGCACAACCGGAAAGTTTTATTCAGAGTGATGATCATTTCAGAGTCACAAACAACTGCCATTGTCAAGATTTTTGGCAATCTGAGGTTCTACTGTAAGTCTAAACATACAAGGTCTTCAACATGATTTTGCGGGATTGCTTAGCATATTCAGCTGGAATATTCTGATCAAGAGAAACCATAAGACTCATTATTGCTTATTACATCCCCAGGGCATCGGTGTGATGGTATGTTAATCCTCTATAACTAGCTGCCTGTGAAATGGTTGAATCGTGAAAAACAAAATTAAATACCTTAAAGAATCTCCCTAAGACAGGCACACTTACTTTCAGGACACCATTTATCTTCAGCCCATCTGTTACAGTTGTAATTGTCGACTGCATTTGCACAGGTGAAACACTTAAAGCTGTTTGGAAATGGAGTGGCTTTAAAAATATTAAAAGTATGTTAAGTTTATAAATACCAAAAATTAAAATTTCACACAAAAAGTGCTTTTACGTATATTAGACAAAAATATGTAAACATTTGCACATATATACACATATTCACACACAAATATGTATAAGAATAGCATATGTAGTCCATGTCAATCTATTGGGTAAATAAGAAATATTTCATACCATACCGTAGAAGCTTTTACTTCTTGTACTAACATCACCATGCCTGAACTTTACAACATTTCACAGACTTTTTGTTTCTCTTACAATCAAAATACTATGTAACTGGAGAGAGAGAGTATCACTGCCCATTACATCTATTACAATAGATATATCTAATGCATCTTCTCTACATATGCACACATGTACAGTGTCACAATATACATTTAATCAGCCCTTTGCTTCCCTAGATGTTGCAGATACTTCTTTGAAACCAGCTCCAAATCACTTGCCCCCAACTCTGAGTAGGCAGGTGCCAATAAGGGATTAGTGAGACTGATTTCAAATTCTATTTTAATAATATTTTATACACATACATACAGGCGCTTTAATGCAGTTTGGCATCAAACATCTCATCTGCTAAACATAACTACTGCTATGCTTTAATCCTTTTTAGCACAGAGACTTTCATCCAATTGGGTGCAAAGGGAAAGTAATCCGAGTGTAAAGTAAGAAGACGACATGTGATGCTATTACTGACAGCTGATTTCACAGCTAATACAGTGGTTTTATTTTCATATTAACTTCCATATTTTCATTTAGTGCTCACTTTAAAAGTGTTCAATATGTCCTTATTATACCCATAAAAAAACCAGGAAAACAAATAGAAATAGATAGTCCAGTTCATACATTTATATTGTACAAAATGAAGTAATTTTGAAATGAAAGTTCAATAAAAGCATCCAAAATCCAAAACTGTTTTTCTAATCAAAGTACAAAGAAAAGAAAACACTTCTCTCCCTCTCTGTTCAACTTCATTAAGATTTCATCTCAAATTTAGGAATGATATGGTGCAGCTATTAGGAGGCTTTGTTTTAAACTTTAGTGGGGAGCCTAATTGTCTAACAGCCTTGTAAACAAGGGATAACAAGGGAAAAGCTAATAACTGAAGTATTAACCTATGATCTCAAATACAAGAAAGCCATAACTGGCTACTTACGGTCTAGTGGAAGCCTCACATTATAGAAGTTGATGTTCTTGGCTAGAACCCAATTTCCTGAGATGCTGAAGATCTGAAACAATGCTGCAGCCAACATGTGATAGACTAACAGCATGCTGACTATTACTCCACAGGGAAATCTAAAATACTTGTCCCTAGAAAAGAGGAAACATACATGACAGAGGAACCATAAAAAACTCAGACTATGGAGCATTGGACTTCCTATGAACTTGATTTGAAACCTTTACAATTCCATGCTTGAATCTGCCCTGCTAGTGCCAGTAAGCATACATCACTAACCACTAACCTAAAAAACAATGAATAGTCTAGCAGCAGAAGTGGGTTGTGCCCACAAAAGCTAGTGATACCATGTTTTGTTAGTCTTTGAGGTGCTGTTGGAGTACTCCTTGTTCTTTAAGTTTTTCCACTTACAGAATAACACGGCTACCTCTCTGAAGCTTTTTAACCATTATGAGCTAGTCAAAGATGAGCAGCTGCTGCCTTCTGCTGGTTAGCATTCTACATTTCTACAATTAGTACTGTAGTGATTTTTTAATGCTAGGTTATTCAGCTACATGATGAGTTCCCACAGACAATAACAGTCTTAAAGACAGCTTATAAGGATAAGTCTGTTCTATGGGTGGGGAACCTTTTTTGGGTCGGGGGCCGCTGACTCATAATAAAATCAGTCAGGGGCCGCACACCACACAAGTGAGAAGCAAAAACAAGAAAACCCCTCACTGATGTGGCTTCTGACTGAGAAGAAGAAAGACATTCCCCATATTTCCCTCCCACACCAGAGCTTGGGGGGCCTCAGGCTAGTGGATTTTGTGTCCTCCAGCCCCACAGTGGGACAGTAGGGGGCCTGGAGCAACAGCACAGACTCCCCAATGCTGGGGGAGGGGAGGCTGATCCTGCGGGGGCTAGGGCCAGGCAAGCCAGGGGCTGCATCCAGCCAGGCCTGAGGTTCCCCACCCCTGATCTATTTCATGATACAAAACCTGTGGCACTGACTCTCAGTGCCCAGGCTAGTTGACTTGGGCTCATAGGCATGAGGGCAGCAAGTCTAAAAAGAGCAATGAAGACATTCAGGCTTAGGGTGGACCCCAGGCTCCAAGGATATGTCTGCAAAGGGGTAAATGCCACGGGGCATGGCTGCAGTTGGCCTGGGTCAGCTGACTCAGGCTCATGGTGCTAAAAATTGCTAAATAGCATCTCAGCAGTTTTTCAGCCCCAGAGCCTGAGCCCCATGCGCCTGTGTCAGCTGAACCAGGCTAGACATGGGGTGTTTTACTCCTGTGTAGACAGACCTTGATGGCCTCCAGGCTCCAGCCCAAGCCTAAACTGCTATTTCATAATCCCACACTGCTATTTCATAACCCCACAGCCCAAAAACAAGTCTGCTGACCTACTGTGCCACAGGGTTTTTTATTGAAATACACTTTGTGACGGACCGCTGCAGGTCCACACTAGAGCGGTGGCCGCCGACGTTCCCTGGAGGCCCCCCGGCGGC